CCTGATTTGGCACCCAACGATTTCTTTTTATTCCCGAGCGTGAAGAATAAACTGCGTGGTCAACGATTTTCATCGCCCGAAGAAGCAGTTGATGCGTTCAAAACACACGTTTTGGAGATATCACTTTCGGAGTGGCATGAATGCTATGACAAATGGTTCGAGCGAATGCAAAAGTGTATTGATCATCATGGCGAATATTTTGAAAAACAATAAAACCATTTTCGATGAAACCCCATTGTCTTATATATGTTTTTGAAAAAACTTAAATAGTGACCCTCGTACTATATGCATATGATTAAAAGCTATTTTTAGTGGCCGGTTGGTTTCGAATTTCTGTGATTTTCTCTGTCTTTTTCTCCTTTTCTCTGTCTCTATCCCTCTTTGTTTCTCTCTTTCTCGCCTCCTTTTTTTATAAATTCATTCAACCAACGACAAAACGAATAACGAATAAAAACGGCTGACCCACTAAACTCAATCTAAATATTTTATAAATGTCAAAATGTGCTTTCGATTTAGAGAAAGAAATTGTGTGTGTTTTTTTTTGTTTAATTTTCTTTGTCGTTTAAGCGAAAACATCATGTTGTCAACTTTGAAAGAAAAATATATATTATTTTGGATGAAAACATTAAACATACATCGTCGGTCACGTTTCATTTTTGTTAAGCGTAAAATTTGCTAATCGCCTGCCAATTTTGTGTTTTTTCTTTCATTCATTTCGTTCGCATTGCCGGCCTGGTCTGCAATACTTTGAAACTATGTGACCGCACAATGCAATCGACACCAAAAAATAAATGTAATGCGTGCACATTTGCATTCATTTTAATATTCCCAAATCAATTAGTTTTACTTTAATTTTCACTTATTCATGATGTTTTTGCAAACCGTGCACCTTTCAATTTCAATACAATATTATACATTTCGTTTGGGTAAATAAAAAAAATGACATGGAAATTCCATAAAATCGTGACCAAATTAGAACGCGGCGAATCGATGACGCGCGAATAAGAAAAATGTACACGACCGACTCATGTAAAAAAGGGAATATATAATGTACGAATGTGTATATTAAAAGCAGGAATTAGACGAATGATATATGATCAAAATACATCGTTTGTTATTTAATATTGTGTGTATTCGACATCACATGCACATGATTTTTTTTCTTCGTTCAATTAGAATAGATACTATCAAAAGCATTCACACAAATGAAGTATATTTAATGACAAAGTACGCGTAAATGTAAAGTGTCGTCTTGTTCATGTTGAATTTGAAAAGCAAAAAAAAAAAAAAACAGAATCGAAATGCGATAAGCGGATGTCTCCCGTTTGTAATCGAACAGCAATAATCTGTCATTATATTGCGATTTCAAAATTGAAACATAAAGAAGTGCATTTTGTATCGTTTGTTGCTTCTTTTTTGTACAAGTAAATCGTAGATATTTTGACTACATCTTATCATATTAAACATGTTTTGTTTTACATTTTGTTGTACGACAAATAAATTTGAACAACAATTTAAAAAAAAACATTCTGTCTTGAGCCAAAGTTTCATTTGATCATCGCTGAAAATGAGTCGTTGTAATGTCATTCTCTATTGAGAGCATACAAACAGTGAAACAACAACAGAAAACCCAAACTGGTGCTTTCATTTATTTCAGAAACAATAAGCATGCAACGAAACAGGAGCATTCAGGTCATCGTAATCTATTTGGAAATAGATGTTTACAATCAAAAAGCACTCGAAAAGCTTGTGACTCAGAATGTTGTTTTGTTACCAAGCGCATTTTCAACACACATCGATTGAAGCACACATAAATTTCATTTCGTTGAGCGATAGAGAGAATGTGGTGGGGGGTTGGGAGGGAGAGAGCGAGAGAGCGAGAGAGAGAGAAACAGATACAGAGAAACATGATACGAGCGCACATATTGAAACCTATATGATAATGACACGTGATGTTTATAATTAAGTATTTTATTGTTGATTTTCCATAAATATTCGAGAATGAGAGATAATGAATGACGTGTGTTGACTTGGCTTGTTAAATCACTACAACCAGATCTCACATTGAAATGTGAGCGAGCTCGAGGTGATAAACAGTCCCATCGCATATGTTCGAGCAAATTGTTAAAACCACTTGCGTAGTTATAGTATGCGACAAATCTCATCAAGTTTTTTTTCTTGTGCCTTCTGTTCTGCCATCGTTTTCCCTCTCTCTTTTTCTCCGACTTCGCTTTTTTTTCGTTCTTTTTCTTTTCAATTTCATTGTGGTGTACATCCACGTCAATGACTTAAATATATTTGTGCGCGCAATTGATAATTCAGTTTTATGAATTTTCGAACATATATATAAATATTGTAGCCTTCGTAAACAAGATTTTCAATCATTGTACTCGTTTAAGTCGATGATAATCGATGCATTGTCTATTAGTACCGCAATTATTCCAATGTTCATCAGTGTTGGTTTGACGTGGTCGTGGTCGTTGCCGTCGCCGTTGTTGTACTTTTTCCGTGCTTTTGGCCTCGTTATTATTATTATTTTTTTTTTTTTTTGAAACTTTATTGAATCATTTCATCGTCAACATTTTTTCGATGTATTTGTTTTATCTTCCATCGCATTTTTTGGCATTTTGTCAGCACTTGTTGCTTATTATATTCGTTAAGTTGTATCACTTGCGTAAATGTCATGTTTTTTTCCACAGCATATTTACCTGAAACGAAAAAAAAATATATGATAAAACGATACATTTCAATGATATTTGAATCGGAAAATCTTCAAATTTACGTTGAAAAGATTAGACGCGATTTTGTTTTCAGTGTAGAAAAAATGTGATTGCCCAATGTTGTTAAGTTTTTCTTTGTAATCAGCCCACTTAATGAACATAATCGCAATACATTTTACAATTCATTCAAACATTCTAGCACGTGCCGTACTTATGAAATCATTCACTGAATGGAATGACCGATAAGCTTTGATAAATTTCATTTTTTCAGTATCCAATTTGAAGATGCTTCACATTTTTTGGATTTTGTTCAATTTTCGGACCAACTCAGTTTCGTGGAAATCAACATTAAGCGAAAGTACTTTCGTTTTCTTTTGAACAGAACGGTCACAATACGGCATTCAGAATTGAAAAAATGAGAAGCCAAACCTTTCAACATGAGAGTCCATTATTATTGGCTATAATTGATATGAAAAATATGATCCATTTGCAGAAAAAAAAGACCAAACAAAGCAGCCTAACATAGCTCATATCAATGGGATATTGTTAAAATGTGCACATTAATTCATTGCGAGAAATGAATTAAAAATAAATCGAAGAGAGAAAAACCGTAGAAAAAGACCACAAACGAACTTCTAAAAATATCCTCAAATAAATCACGTTCGAAATACGTGTATCTCTCGGTGCCAGTGTCAAGCGATTTCCATTATAGCAGCAAAGGTGCCATTTTCGTTCTCACTCTTTCATCGATGTTTATATAAACATTATTGTAATTATTGTTATACGATTCGATTGAATTTTTTTTTCTTCTCACTTATTATTATTGTTGTTGTTGTTTGACGTTCGCTGTTTTTCGACACAATTTTTTCCAAGAAATCATTTTCTTCATTTAAATCAGTATGACCAAATTTGGAGCGAATAATTAAATGCTAATCAAATTTGAATAATTGAAACTTTAATCAAAATAAAGAAAATGGAAGAAATGACGGAACAACACCAACAAAAATATCGCATTTTTGTTTCCCTTCATGAAATGTTCATGTTTCGTTGCCGATTGTTTTCGTCTCTTTCATGCCATTTATATTGTCAATTCATCAAATATGTTGTGCCCATAGCCAAATAAATGAAATCAGTTGATCTATAAATTGAATAGGACATGCTAATTTTTCGATATTTATCGGTCATCTGAAAGTAATTGTAGCCGATGCCATCAAAACCAGCCAAATATTTGCTGTCATAAAAAATGTATTCAATTCGATGCGATTTTATTTTGTTCGTATTCTCTTTTCTCGCTTGCTCTCACTCTTGATTGGGCGGGTACAGCCCGGCGACGATAAGACAGGCAACAGCAGGATCGAAATGAAATTAAAAAATAAATTGGCAGCAACAACAATCGCAAAGTGTGAACGATTGAATAAGTAAACAGAAACGTGGATATAGCCACTTAAAGAGTTCATGGTTTTCTTTATTTTATTATTATCTTCTTCTTCTTTTTCTCCTTTGTGTTCAATTCGTCAAAATGTTGTTTGGTCATATTGCTATTGATCGTATTCATTTTGCGTATTTACTCGAAATGTCGTGCAGTTCACAATTCTATGTAATTTGTCATGTTGTCATCATTGACGGCCAACAAATTTGTAAAAAAAATTTTTGTATAAGACCCAATCAGCTAAGGCTTGCTGAAGATTAAGAGCTCCATACCCTCTTTTTGGGTCTTACACACATCACGCTGGATAATAAAACAATTGCTAATAAAATGGAAAGACGACGACAAATTGGAGTTTACGTGACATAATTTGATAGCACTAAAATGTTGCAACATGTCCCCTCTCTTTCTTCCACGCACCGATTTGCATCCAGTACAGACTTTTGAGTGGAAAAAAGTTCCCTCATTGGTGTTAATTAGCTTTGTTGATAACATTTTTATTTATTTTACATTACGCGAACGATTCGACATTTTTATTTACATGTACTTTTACTCACATTTATATGTATTTCATAATATTTTTAAATACTGTACTGCGTATGTTTTTGACGGTTTTCGAATAACATGCTGTCACCGTTCTAACCATCAATCTTGACCTTTTGCCGATAATTTTTTGAAGTGCATTATCAATTTGGACCCGTTGGGGTCCAGAAATCTACACCATATCAAAAACATTCCATATTGTTTATCGCAATGATAATTATAAATAGATATCATATTTAACAATGTTTGATTAGTTGCTGATCAGATTAATAACAAAAGAAAAAAAACTTGTTTTTGCTTTATCGTTACAGTGATGCAGCGTTGCCTGGATTTTCGTACTGTGGAGACAATGGTTTAAATTTTTCCACGAATAGCGCTAATTACAGCGAAGATGATGCCGATTTTGCTCCGGGCCGAAGAAATAAACCGTCTCGTGTAAGTTGAATAAACATTTGATTACCGTGGCTATCATATACCCACTATAGAACGTCTCAATAATTTAAAATAATTTATTTGTTGTGTTCTTAAATGTTACAGCAAGATCCATTGTCGCATCGCATTATTGAAAAACGTCGACGTGATCGAATGAACTCTTGTTTGGCCGATTTGTCACGTTTAATTCCGCCACAATTCCAACGCAAAGGTCGTGGTCGTATCGAAAAAACGGAAATCATTGAAATGTCAATAAGATACATGAAACAATTGCAAAATCAGGAATGTTTGCACAAAGAAAATGTCTATCGAATGGGTTACGATGAATGTTTACAGCAAGCGGCCAATTTTTTGTACAACACACATCGTGAAATATGCTTTCAACTAATGGATCATCTGAAAGAGCATTCCAATGATTTTATGAAAGGTAATGATTTATTGTACAGTGTAATAATAATTGACAACCAAATTGATTTATTTCCTTTGTTTCTTCCATATGCATTAGCCGACTTTTGCAAATTGCGCAGCAACAATGCCGATTCAGTGAGTGCATCGAGTGGCAGCCCACCAACAAATGTATACCATAATTCAGCACCAATGAATCAGCTACGGAATATGCTTTTAACGGATATGGAGCACAGCAACAGCAACGATCACAATGATGTGAAAGATTTGAGTTTTCGTTCGAATCAACCACAACAGGCGGCTGTTATAACATCAACAGCACCACCAATTGTGCATTTGGATTCAAGTAATCATGATTTTGATTCGTCACGTGCATCATCGGTTCATGCCGATACAGAAGTATCAAATGAGAAAACCGATGGCACAACCATTCAGTCGGTACGTGTACGCAAATTGTCCGAATCATCGCATCCAGATCATGAACATCATAACAACTATAAATTCAAGAATTATATTCAACAGCGATTTTCACAGGACAATAACAGTCATCATGATGATCATAATGATGATACGACGGCCATTAATTTGATACATGAAAATGGGCAAACCATTGAAAAGGGCTCATCAATGGAACATGAAACAGCCACACCACATGCTAAACGAACCAAATTTTATGATTTTGCTGAATGCAGTAGTTGCGACGAAACAAAACCAACCACCAACGGTATCACCGAATTCAAATCGGAACCGCTTACAAATGGTTATCAAATGTTTCCAAAGCCGAATGCCGCCAATAATACAACATCCCGTTTTCCACATAATCCAGTTCCAATATTTGCATTACATTCGCAAGGTCGGCACTATGTACCGCTTGCCGTTGATTATGATACACTTGTACCGTACTTAGATGGTTTCGATTTAGTTGGAAAAAATTGCACTCAAATGCCACCGTGCCATTCAGTCTCCATTTCAGTCAATTTCTCACCACCAAACCGAACGAAATTGACAAATGTCGTATGTAATAATAATCGTACCAAGAATGATAGTTTGGTATGTAATGGCTGGTAAAAAAAATAACGAATAAATCAAAATTTCAAAAAATTGATTTACAAAAAAAAAACCAACACACACAACATAAAACTAAAGAAAAACAGCTAAACATTTTATAACAATCCAAAAATCAGAAATTAAGTAGGTGTATACAGGGTTTCGAACTATGTGACACAGACACATTTACATATATAAACACTCGCTGAACACAATTCCATCACATTTTAATTGATATGCATGTTTCCGTTTTGTACATGATCGTCACTTATTTGAGAGTGTGGTGAATTTTTCAAGCACCTTTCATTCATAATCAAAATGAAATCGATGCTCAAAATACATGTTACTCACATTAATTTTATAAGGTTCTCAATATTCAGCGGGTGAACAATAAATACAGAAAAACAAAAAAACAAACCGAATCCTACCAATTATACGTCAATCAAAATAAGTGGATGCACAAATCACAAAAAAAAGAAAAAAAAAAAACATCAACTATGAAAAAAGATAGATACATTTCTACCATTAATTATTTAATAGAAAAACCAAAATTCGACTGATAAACGATCTAAATGAGGAAAAGGGAATTGATAATATCAATTTGATATAGAAAGAGAGAGCGAATTAATAGGAAAAGTAAAATAATTTTTGATACGAAATTTAATGAGAAAAAAAAAAAACAAACCATATTTAGGAATATATATTATATATCGAAAAAAATAGTTTATTAGGCCAATAAAAAAATATTTTCATAATGAATGGCAACAAAAATGAAATAATATTAAACTAAAACTCCTCAGAATCTTCTTTTTTTTTCTTTTCTATTGTGTAAAAGTTTCATTGCCCATTTGAATTGACCAGATATTTTTCAATTTTCAATTTTTCGTTCCAATTATCATCCAAGTCTTACATAACAATTTCATTTTTTTTATATATTTGTAAAGGTACCAATATAAATTAAGTGATTTGAAATGAATACTTAGACTGATGCTGCCATAAGAACTGATGTTTTCATTTAATTCTAATTTTTTGATTTTCATTGTAAAAAAAAAGAAAGAAAAATTGACAGATGTTTGTATTGTTCTCAGTAACAATACTACTTTATCCCCTCAAACACAATGTATTCTTCGAGATGTAAATAAAATATTAAAATAAATAATAATAAGTTCTGTATACATTTATTTCTTTTAAATATGGATCCTTCATTCCAAACAAATTTCATTCTTTTTCAGCTCATATGTTGTATAAGTTTTTAAGTGGCGCCTTTTTTCGAAAATGTCTTAGATATTATGTGAATTCTTCAACAAAAAATATGTTCATTTCTGGATGAAAATAAGCTCGAAGATCATGATGGCAATCCGCCATTTTCATCCGAATGAAAATTCATTTTGATTCCAGAATTAATTCCAAGCCACTTCTATTTTCGTTGGCATCTGATGAGAGCACTTGCCATAAAAGAAGAGAAAACGAAAAAATATTCGGAATAATTTGGTAGTTAAAATTATGAAAACATTTTTGTTTGTGAAACATTAATGTTGCATTTGTATAAAAAGTAAACTGAATTGATGACAAAATCATAGGTAAGACAAATTGTGATTCAATTCACAGCCAAAATGAATTTTCCATTATATTTACCTCTTATAAATCTATTGAATATATCGAGAAGAGCTGAGAGAGATGTTATTCAGCGCTTATAGCTGAGTAATGTCTGAATAAAAACATACTCTCCTCTCGATATTTTCAATAGAAATGAAGGTTCAATTTAGTTCAAGAATGTCGATTTTTAGAGTATGAAACTATTCTTAGTTTGCAGCAAAAACATTTGTTTCGGCTTCTTTGGTTTGACATTTGTGCTTTGTTTTTCTATCGCCGTTCACGATTTACGTACCCAATTTAAGCGGTCTCATTCTTGACATTTTTTCAACGAAAAATAAAATCCAGGTATTCAATGTCAAATACAATAAAAATAAGAATTTATAATTCGAATTGTTTTCGTAAAGATTTTGCAGACAGAATGTAAATTATTCACAACTCTGACGCACATAGTGTTTTGTTATCATCATTGTGTGACCATAAATTTTATACTATTGACATTGAAGTGAGAAACCTAAGACAGCTGAATCGAATAAAACACATGAAATCGACCAAACACGAAAACAAATTAAAAGAAAAAAGACATAAAATCATTTTCGGTACATTTATTCGTCTAAACGATTCACATGTATGTGTCAATGAGAGTTTGAATACAGTTACTACTTCTTCTTCCTCCTTTATCTTCATTTCTCTCTCTCTCTCTCTCTGCAGTTTTTTTTTTGTTGTTGCTGTATTCCACTTAATTTATACGTTTTATGGAGTTTTATGTTCTGATCTAATACGTATTATGGTTGTTTAATTTTTACGATTTCGACGCCGTGATCCAGTATTCCCGCCAGCATTTGAGTTTTGCGGATTTTGGCCACTGTACAGAGAATCTAGAATTTCATCCAATGAAGGTTCACTATAAATGAAATAAAAACTGTTAATTTTTATTGTGATTCGATTTGATGTGTCCACGTCATGTGGATATGTTTGCTCACGTTGTTTGCTCTCGCTTTAATCTCTCCTTTTCTTGCTGATAGTGAGGCTGTTGACTTTGTTGCTGTTGTTGTTGCTGTCCCAGCACAATGCGATATTGAACGATATGCGAATTTGGTTGCAGATGTGATAATGCTCCCTTTTGACAATTGGCCCATTCAGTAATATCTAGTACTTTTCCTTCCATTAGCGCTAAATATTTCCATTTTAATCCGAAAAATGATGTTTCTGCCCAAATGTCACCCTAAACCAATCAAACGAGAAAAATAAAATTCAGTAAAACCAATTCATTATTTTGGTTTCGTAAATTTTCTTACCTCGCGTGCAGTATGCCGAATTTTGCAAGTGTTGCACTGTCTGTAAAGAGAAAATTGTGTGAATGAAAATTGACAAAAGAGCAAGAAAAGATTGAATAAATGTTCAACAAACTAAAAATATGAATTTACCTAGCAGCGTAATGTGGTCTGCCGGTCGGTTTACGAGGGTGTCGGGATCCACAGCTACTGCATCTGTATACACCAAATACATCGAGAAATGATTGAATTTAAGTTCAGCCAATTGGACAATTTATCAATTTTACCTAATTGTATTTACTGCTTCGGCGATTTTTGTTTGTAACTGTTTCAGTAAATCATTCAGCTCTGACCAAGCCTTTTCAGCATTCAATGCTTCAGCAACACCTTGATCGTAAGACTTTCGATTTTCCTATAAGTGAAACAGTAAATTGACGAATTCAATATGAAACACAATTAATCGCATTTAATCCACTCACCGGTTCACCAATCAATTCAAATGCACGTTGCAAAATTTTGAATGCTTCTTCTGCACCAGGTTGCTTATTTTTATCCGGATGAACTAGAACGGCAATTTTTTTATAATGTTTTCGTATTTGCTCCTGCGAACAATCTGATTGAACGCCAAGTATACTGTAAATAAATGCAAACACAGCAATAATGGTTGAATAAATTGATAAAATGTGATAAAAAGTGTTGTGCACCAACCTGTACGCATCTTTGCCTTTACAATTTAATAGTGAATACATTGCTTCGTCACCAGTTTGAGGTAATCTGCCATTTTTAAAATGATCGGGTATGGTATCGGGTGGTTTTTTCTTTGAAAATAGTCTTCGCCAAATGGCCCATTTTGAATCTTTACCAAATTTATTATCGAATTTTTGCCATAAACTAGTAAAATAGGCATATGGTCGTCCCGAATTGTTTGTTAATTCACTGCGTAACGTAGAAAACATTTGACACGAGTAATCGTAGGCGGCTGAAAAATGATCCCAAATAATGCCAACGCTCAGCATAAATACATCGGCAACCAGTGCAACTAGCCATTTGAAAAAGAACAGCATGTAATTAAACCAAGCGTTTGCCAATTTAAAAATGAATTCGTATGTATTATTTTTGCGTGTTTTATTGCTGCGTTTTGGCTGGTAGACGTTGGATTTTTCGGTGCGAGTTAAATTGCTTCGGTTCGACGACGACGATGATGTGGTAGAAAATGATTTATTGGAAGCACTTTTTCTTTGTTGACTGTTGTTTTTTGCATAGCTTGCAAATGGTTTGTCAGCGCTAGATGGCTCATTTTTGGTGATATTATAAAAATAGCCATTGTTTTGTGAGTTGTTTTTATCACTTTCATCTTTTGTCGGTGGTGCATTTAAATCAGTTTGTGAACGCCGTTTATTCAAAAAATCCGATGCTGCGTTTTTCGTGCTTCGATTCATATTTGAAGTCGACTTTTTCTTCGATTGCTTTCCATCATATTCACTTGGTTTCGAATCACTATCGAAACTCGGCGAACTTTTTATACTCGCCGAATTTTGCATCGTCGATGATGAATTCGATGCAATTTTTATGCCTTTTGAATTTGACGTCGCATAGTCTTTGATGTCATCATGCTGGTTGGCCATTTTTTTATCGTTGGCATTCATTGAATTCTTTGACTTATCGGATTTCGATGCTAGGAGAAGAAAGAAAAGAATGTTAATTCATCATCATCATCATCTTGACCTCATTTAAATGATTTTAAAATGGAAAATTACCTTCCAGATGATTTTCCCCTCGCTTCGACGCCTTTTGCAATGGATTCGCATTTGATGAGCCATTTGAAAAATTGTTTGAACTATTTGAATTTCGATTATTATTGATGTGCGATTCAGACAGATCGTCTTTGATGAACACATTTTTACTTAATACATCGGAATAGGACATACGCATCGGTTTCACTTCGGCAATCATTCGTGGTTTTTTCACATCCGATGTCGATTTGATTGGATTCGTGTTATCGCATTGAAAATTGCCATTGGTACATGATGCTTGTGCATTATTAATCGAGTGCAAATTATTTTGAGCGAACGTTTCTTTGCAATCGGTCAACGTTGGATTCTTGATTTTAATCGTACCAACATTTTCAATATTGCAATGGTTTCCATTTTGTAGATCTTGTTCATTGATAATTATAATTGGCGCATTTATGTTATCGGCGCATGTATTTATTAGTTCGTCACGAATTTCGGCGTTGGAACTTAAGTTGTTCGAAGTGGCAGTTGCAGCGCTTGCAGCGGCAGCGGCCGCTGCAGCAGTGGCGGTGATGTTGTTGACATTGGCATTTGTATTGTGCGTTGATGCCATATTCTGTGGTGGCAACGGTGATTCACCGAATGGTGTGTATTCACCAAATGGCATTCCAGTCATATTTGGAATCCAATTATCAACCAAACTATTTATGAAATTCGTACTATTTGCATCGGCCATATAACGATCGCCCATCGACAGATTATTTGCAGGATGGTAAAATGCATGCTCTTGGGTCGGCGACTGATGTGGTGGTGGTGGTGGCGGTGGTGGCTGTTGCATCGTATGATGTGGAGGGATAAACGTATTGTTCGAAAACAATTCATAATTATTGTAGTTATTCATCAAATAATCGCCGTGTGTAATTCGATACACAGTGAATCCGTCGGCTCTGGGTGCTGGTGCAGCCGTTGGATCCCCATACACATACTGTGTATGTTGGGGTGCAAATTGCTGATGCACATTTTGACGTTGCATTTGATGCAGGGCATGTTGATGCTGCTGTTTACATTAAAAAAAAAAAAAAAAAAAAAAACAAATATTATGAAATGGTCACATGAATACCACATATAATGAGTAATAGTTTTTTTATTCATTTGTGTTTTTTTTTTCATTTTTATCAAACAAAGTCAAAACTTTTAAAGATAAAGAAAAAAAGAACACAAAAACACTTTGTTGCACTATGACGAGAATGTCATGCATTTCTCGATATATACATCACTTACCTGTTGTTGCTGCTGTTGTTGTTGTTGTTGTTGCTGTTGCTGTTGTTGTTGCTGCTGGTAGTTATTCATATTGGCGTTAAAATTTTGTGGACCACTGCAACTTGTCAGAGCAGACAAATCCCCATCAACTCAATCAAAATTTAGATACTGCAAATGAAAAAATGTTGTTACTTAGTCAGAGATTTTGTGTGTGATGCTAATGAAATTCGTCGACAAGCGCGCACTCACACATGACTATGCACACACAAAGCGCAAAGACACAAGCAAAATTTTATCTATTGTTCAACAATAACAATGAGAGAGCAGAGAGAGAGAGAAAGAGACACTATTTAATCAAAATACTCCTCAAACGAATGGTGTGTGACATACACAAAAAGAAATAATGTAGTTAATAAAATCAAATCCGTTGGCTCGTCGAAGCAAAAAAAAAAAAACTGTTCATATGGCTTTCTATCCATTTTTCATCGTCCAATTTATATCAATTCAGAAAGTCAAATAAATAAATATGTCACAACACACACCAACCTTTTTAAAAACGGGTGCTGATAAAATGCCCCTGATTTTTTTTTTCGACAACGACAACAACGCACATACAAATTCGCTTAACATGCATACAATCTCGATGTGCTGCATTCATTTACACAAAATATTATTAAATCTTTTTTCGAAAAATACGAACAGATGAGAATGATCAAATTAACACATTTTTCAACACACTTTAGTTAGAGTATTGGCTTTTGCAAACGAAGCATTAAAATGTCAATCTCTTACTCTCTCGTTGACTGCCATGAAGTTGGTCACAATCGGAATTAAACATGCTACAGATGCTGTCATTCATAAAAATATACACTCTTTGTCTGTTGTATTTTTTTTTATTCAACTTTGGCTTTTTTGTAATATACAGTTTTGTGTATTGAAAATCTTTTTCAGTTTTACATTCGATTTTACTAATGTTACAAGATTTTATTATAATAGTAACACAGCACATCGTTCAATGTGTTACTAACATAGATTTTTTTTTTAAATCATTACTTACCTAATTTATTCGCCGTCAATTTATAAGGAATTCAAATATTGAATTGAATTCAATGTGCTGTAGTAAATTAAATGTTGTCAAACAAATTTCAATTGAACGTCTTGGTTTGCACAATTCAATGCAGAAATTGAAATATTTAATTTAGGAAAATATGAATGGAATAAATGTTTTCAAAACATGCTGCTGATGAATCATTGAAATTCATCACATTCATCTCATTCGATTTCATGTCGTTCGATATTAAAATATTTCATTTGAAAAAAAGAAACAGTTTGCATTTTTACATCATTTATTTTCCATTCATTTTCTGTTTCATGTTGAAATTCACAAAAATATGATTTTTTTTGTGTGGTTGTTGTTACAATTTTGGTGAAAACACCTAAATGTTTAAATTTAAAGCTTTCAGTTATAGAAACGATCAGCTTTTTTTTTATTTTACGACTTATATAACATTTGAATTGGTTTAATGCTTATTTTCAATATTTACTCATTTTTGTTGTTGTTGTTTGCTGCTGTTTTTTATATATGTTTTTATTTATATATATATAATATAGAAAAGATTTATTTTGATTTTTCTACGTCATTGTATTTTTTTAATAAGTTTTTTTTTGTATGCATTTCTTCCATCTTTTGTACAAAATATTTTTTTTTATATTTCACTTCGTTGGTATATACTAATTGTGTAGGTTTTCTTTTGTTGTGAATCATTAAAACTTTTATTCCAAATGTTGAACACAAGGACAATCGGACAATCATTCTGTTATTGTGTTTTCAACTCAGACAATTAAAACGTAATAATATGGATGCTATAAAATTCTGTGATTTTTTGTGTGTGTGTGGGTGTTGTGTGTATTTGTTGCATGAACCGAGAAAGGATATTTATCGCGTACATACTTCACTGTGACTGTCCCAAGCCATCACCTGCATTCGCAATAGAATGAAGAAAAAATGAAATATGATTTGCTTAGTTATGTTTTAAACGGGATGCATTTCACTTAAATGCCAATATTTTACCTGACACTCGCGGCTGCAGTACCACTGTCGTTGGCAATCCGCACACACGAATTGGGCCTCACGCTTTTTGCACCCTTGACACTCTGGCAATTCATTTTCATGCGAGTCGTCATTTTTCGCCGATGCTCCACTGATCAGTTCGCTATTTGAATACTGTTCTTCGTCAATCACCAAACGATCACTATCGTCCGCTTCATCATCCTGAAATATTTCAATTTGTTCGTTAAATTAAATTATTAGTTTTGTTTGCCAACGAAAAAAAAAAAAACACACACCAAAAGTCCACATACCAAATTGAATAGAACATTATTCTTTGGTAAGAATTTGTTCATATCACGTTGATAGCGTTGCAATTGTTGTTGCAGTAGCGAATTGTTCTGCGGCTGCTGCTGTTGCTGTTGTTGAAATGCTAAAATTTGTGAGATGGGTAGACATGAGATTTCCGGCTTGTTTGAATCTTGCTGTGATCTCGAATTACTTGGTTTGGTTAGATTGATTCCCGCCGATTGATTTGAAAAGAAATTGTTGTTATTGTTGTTGTTGTTGTTGGCGTTGTTGCCAACATTGTTCGACGATAACGCAGAGCTAAGCGCAAAGTTTCGTTCTGGAGCGGTCAGAAGTCGAGCTAACGTCGGTGAAAATGCATTATTGAAACCAGCTGTATTTGTGTTTGTCGATGTCATGCCAGTTGTAACTGTTGATGTTCCCTTCAACTTGGAGCTCTGACCGAAATAAAAAGACACAAAATTTATCATCATGTCTAAAAAAAAACTGGAAATTATTGATTACCTTTGTTAGGATGCCATGCAATAGCGAATTGGTGTGAGCATCGGATAGATGATCGTTATTGTTCTTTTGTAAAAGTGCCGCATGGTTTGACTGTCCAATTGGATGTAATGTGACTTCTGGGTAACCGATTCCACTATTTTGGTTCTTGAATAACGGCGTACTAGTGAGAAGACTGTTATTCTTCAAATTTAATGCACTGCCAATATTATTTTCATTAAATGCTTGCTTGAAATTGCCTGTAACGATTAAATTGTCAATTATTTTTTTTTTTAAGATGTCTATGTATGAAATTATCTAAACAGCACACGTCCGTCACAAATAAAACATTCAATTGGATTTTTTTTTATAAGAATGGTACCTGCTGCAATGGAGCCATACTGATTGGATGCACCGGGTTTCGATAGCAGTACTTGTGAATTACTGTATGTGGAATCGTTTGATGATGGCGGTGAGCTGATGTCATTGTTCCGTTTTGCTAATAAATCTGCTACCAGAGCATCATTATTATCAACCGCTGAATTACTGCCCTGTTCATTTCCATATAGATTCTGGTTGATGTTTTTCATACGACGACCGCGTCGAGGCACCACCTCTGGATGTGTTTGTCGAAAGTTTGCAATAATTGATTGTACATCTTTAATTTGACCTTGTCGTCCAATTTGCAATTTACTTGTCGATTGTTCAAGTTGATTGGTCGAATTAAGGAGACTTTGGCCATTCTCGCGGAATCGTTGCGATAAGAATGTTTGCTGTTGCTGCTGCGCTTGAATGGCCGGTGACGATTTTGGTATTGAGGTAACAACATTGGCATACGCTGATGATGCATTCGTTCGCAGCGATTGTGTGGATTTCGGCTGAATATTTCTGGGGAACACAATGCTATGTAAATAAATTATAAGGATATTACGAATTAAGGTTAACATGAAATTAAACATCGACAAAATGCAGTCTGAATATAGATTGATTAATATTCAGTTTCTCCACGTAAACACTGATTGCAAACGTGATTAATCGTGGCATTGTGGGTGGGCCAACGTGCATTGTGTCTTGCATATTTTAAGAAAGACCGCTAAAATCGTCTCTTTCAAATCAAATTCGAGATGAGAAAAAAATAATGAAAATTTTGAACTATTTTTTTCAATTAGAGAGAGAGAAAAAAAACTTAACAAATGATAAGTCTAGTAAAATGCAATACCTGTGTAATTCGTTCAAGTTAGACTTTTCTTTGGCTAAATCAATACTTTTCATGTTGCATCGTGACATAATAAAGGATGTGGCTGGACCAATGCCACCTGTTCCCGATTTTCTTGATTCGCTGGCATTCAGCTCGTTCAAACAGTCAAAAGCGGTGCTGTTGAGGAACAAACTTTCTGGATTGTCAATTGACTTGGTGGCCATAATTTCGATAACCTTTTTCTTGCGATCCAATCGCAACAGCATATCTTCTTTCATTTTCTTCAAATACAATATGTTATTCCATTCGATTTCTTTGGTGCGTGCTGCTTCGTCGAGTGCCTCAATTTCATTGGTTAACTGATCAATGTCACGTTGCAAATTGTCCGGATCATTTTTATTGGCCGAAGTTGATGATTCAATCATTCGGCGCATCATTTTATCATGTTTTGAGAAATTTTCTTCGACTTCATTTCGTGGGCTATAAATAGTGACGACAAGTAGGAAGAGAGAAAATATTATGAATTTAGAAAATGTTATTATTATTATTATTTTTTGTATAACGTTACTTCTTAGCGGGTGGAGCTTGCTCATCGTCTGACGAAATAGAAATTTTCCGTTTATTTGATTTGTTTGTGGTTTTAGTTTTGTTATCATCAATCGTTTTCATCTCCTTATCATCACCGTCGTCTGTCGATGAACTACCCTTATTGATGCCATTTACAACAATTGTGCTTTCATGTGGCGCATTGCTTTTCGATTCATCTTCACTTTCAATTGTAACCGGATCATCGATGTCGTCGTCCGTTTTAACAATTGATCCAGATCTTCGTGTATTATTATTGGTAACGTACAGATTTTCACTTGGTTCATCGACATCCATGCTAAGTGCATTTTGACTGTCGTCGTTGTCACCTTCAGAGGTCAATGCTTTGGCACATTTTTCATCGTAGTCAAGTTCATCCAAATCAAGATTTATCATTAAATCATTCCCACTTTGTTGGCTTATGCTTCGTTTAATCATCAATTCACTGGTATTTTGAGCATTCAATTTGCCTTCACGTTCATTGTCGACCTTACGGTCTGTCGGTCCTTTGGCCATCGAATCGCCGGTCTCATTGATATTCCGTTCTTTTAAAACAGATGCATCAACTGGTGTTGATTTTGAAACGAGACTCGATGAACTTCCTGTATCGATGCCACTATTCAATACTTCCACCATTCGATTTCCTCGATTATCCCGCATCGTTGATTTGTCCTTATTCAAACTAAAAAAAAATAAACAAAAGAACAGTATGAAAATTACTATGCAAAAATTCTTCAAGAAACATTTAACTATAGCAGAAGAAAAAACTTATGTGCTCAAATGCAAAGTGATTTAAACAACAGTGGTTCACATACAGTATATCATTGGAGCTTTTTTCTGTGAATAATGTTTGTGTGTTACACGAATTTGACAAGAGAAAATAGGAATTCGGCAAAATATTTTTTTTTCGTTTACAAGTTTTTTTTTGTGCTCATGCAAATAAATGTTAACACATTGTTTTAGTTAGCACTCAACAAATTGATACATCTTTCTCTTTTTCTCGCTGAACTCGCAAACATGCACAATCACTCTTTTTTTCCTCTTTTAAAAAAATTTTGTTATTAAAAGATCAATGAACTTTTCACTAGCGTTTTGCTTCGGCTCCGATTTCGTGTTCTATTTTCGTAGAACATGTAACGGATCATATTTTTAAAATAATTGAATAATCAGCATAGCTGAAATGAAATGAAGCACAACAAAAATAGCCAAACGTTCTTCTAATGAAGCTTTACATTTCGATTGAAATCGCATATTTTGTTCACTGTATCTTTCTCTCACTGTCTTTCTCTCTCTCTGTATTCACACATATTGCACTGTCGTCTCTCTATTGTTAACCGTTGGTCATAATAATTGCGAGACAGTAGCGGCAACAACAACGATTTTAAACTGCATTTGTGACAAAAATAAGTTTATTTTCATTTAAAACGGTGAATAAAGTCGTATGTTCACTTGTGGGTATCTTTCAAATGACAAAATTTGCACAAACTTGATTAGTATTTTTCGTACTGCGGTTGTTGAAAACTTACTTCACTTCAGACCGAAAAGCAACAGTTAATGGCATGTATCAATTGATTTGTAGCACCCACACCTACATGAGCATATTATATGTCAAAAGTTAGACCAAACACAACAACAGCAGCAAGGAAATAAAGTGAAGTGAAACGATACACAATTTTGTTTTTCCCGCTCTTGGTTCTCTTTTTTTGATTTTTGCTTTGCTCTCTCTCTCGTCGTCCTAAATGTATTGTTTTCGATCGAATGACTTCGAACCAACTAGCTTACCAAGAATAAGTATTTCGTTAAACTCTTCAGGCATCTCATAATTCACTCGTATCGTATATACAGTACTTTCTGTGTGCGCGCGCGATATGTGTATGCACATACAATGTGTTGAGGTAGTTCTATGGTGGTACAATACAATTGCAGCATTTTGCTATCCATTCTCGCCATTTGATGCAGTTTGTATTTAATACGTACATTTCCATCGAATTGTCGAGTCAGTGTCGGATGCATATATATATTCTCTCTCTTCTCTCCTTCTCTCTCGCTCTCTCTCTTTCTCTCGCTGTCACAGAGAATCAAAACAAATTTCATAGTTTCTCCTTTGACTTTTCTGTAAATCCTTCAGAAAATATAAGTGCAGCTCAGTGACCAAAAATGAGAACGAGAAAGAGAGAGAGAAATGACGCACATACACCGACCGATCAACCAATGGCAATATAAATATATTCGGGTTCTTGCATTTGGCAACTAAAAATGTGTGATGTTCATTTGCATTTTGCGTTCTTTTACAAAGTGTTTATTGTACGCGGTTTTGCACCCAATCGACAGCAGCGTGTGTACAATGCAAAATAAACACAATGTAATATTCATTTCGTTTCAATTTTATTGGCCGAATTCGGTTAAGTAAAAGAGATGCAAAATCTTCCATTCATTGCCCGTGCTGTTCATACAAAATGTGCCCAATATTCAGTATGGTGTGCGCGCGTGCCTTACGTATTATGGAAGGTGCATGAGATCATACATTGATCGGATATGAATGGCCTTCGCATTAAATCGATTATGCTAAACTCGATTTCATCACAAACCAAATCGTAGAGGAAATAATGCCGTGCATCGTTTGGAGAATTTTGCGTATTTTTTGAAGCCAAAATGAATCTATGCAATTTCATAAATCCTACACGTTTAACCATTCGACCTAATTGAGCTCATCATCGGCATAGAAATTATTCGCATTTATTTTCTATCATACTCAACTCGTAATGAATTTTCATTGATGAATTTTGAAATCGCAAGTCTTTCTCGCGAAAAAATAATATGGCTGAATTTTACATTGAATACGTTCATTTCTGATTGCAATACAATCATCATTAGATAGCTGATGAGATAGTTAACAATGGAAAAAAGGAGAAAATCAACGGATATTGATATCACGCTAAACCGTTCGATTGAATGCATTACATAATTGATTTCCATTGAACGAACGGAAATAAAATGAGAGATCAAATGTTAGCATTGAGTCACGCAGATTCTCTATGCTATCAATACCACTGACTAATTGAACTCAATACGTATTCTTTTTGTTACCCTTATCCTTGATGGTAAATGCTGAATGATTCAACTTGCACAGCGTATCGTGTCCACAGTCACAATATCCATGCATCGTACACCCAGAATGCCATTGATAGTCATAATTGTAATAATAACAAATGAAGCAAATGTTGAGCAGTCAATGCACTGTTTATCGCATTGTACAATGTCGAACACCCAAATGAATTTCTATTAAGAGAATGTATTTGTGTGCGTCGAATACAGAAAGAGAGACAAAAAGAGAGAGAGAGAAGAAAATCTGGAACAAGCAGAAGCTTTTTTTCTCTCTGTCACTGAATTCAGTTGTACGAGAAAGCATTTTCACTATTTCGCTACCACTAGCGCATATTGTGCATTGAAAGCGTAGGGCAAAATATGACCTTTGTGCCCTTTTTAGTAATATATAGTGCATTGAACACTACAGTGCATGCACTTAAATTGTACCAATGTAATAATAAAATTGAAAAAGGTAAGTCGAGCGCTCTCTCTAGGTTATACCGAACAGGACACTGAGGTTTGTATATCAAATGAATGAACAAAAAAAAAAATTAAAACAAGATAAGGATTTGCTGATGAGTACCAAACGGCACCCATGTAAGATTTCATTGAAAAGTGAAAAGTCAAATTGACGTCTGTTCAAAACCAGCAACAAAAAAATACTACAACCCCTTACCTTTTATTGTTACTTTAAATTTATTCAAAAAGTTTCAAGTGGCGTCGACGTTGACACTATTTTAATTGACATGTAATTAGACATAATTAATCATTTGCCGGTGTGAGAGTGTTTGGTCTACGTTTCGATTTATGCATGTTCATTTTAGATTGTAAATGCAATTTCGAATTATTTTCACACCATTTATTTAAAAAAAAAAAGCGAATTGAATGAGAAAACGTTCACTCTTTCACACTTTCTCTCTTCTCATCTATCCACGTCGACTGTTGCGTTGGTTGCATATTCGTCCAAATGTACGTCGTTATGTGTGAGTGAGTGTATAAAAGAAAGAAAAAGCTGAAACATTTCTTCAAAAATAGATTACAACACCACAAAATACGTGAAATGAGCGTGAATTAAATTAAATTAAATGAAATACAAGTATGCAACAACGAAATGAAGGCGATGTCTTCTTTGTCTTGTACGCTCATTTTAATTCTATAAGTATCCGCGTGCAATCATCAATTAATTTACGGTTGGTGTGTGCTTATCGTGAAAATGTTAAAAGTGTGGCCAAACACAAAACACATCATCCAACATGAACGATTAACATCAACCGTTCTCATTTCAAAATCTTGACAATTATTATAGCGATCAATTTCGATTTGGCTATGGTGTTGATATAGCTGCAACATCACCGATATATCGATGCATATTAAACATGGAGAAAGAAACATAAACGAAAAGTTATTTGTAGCAATATAGCACCAATTCGTCAATTCATTTGAAGAGTTTTTTTTTCATTATTTAAGTCTCTCTACGTGCTTATACTTCTGTGTCGCTCAATGGCAGTTCTTATTCCTGCATTTCGTTTTTTTTAAACGTATGACATATGTTCGCTCGCTTGCGGTTCAATAGACTCGAAATGCTTCGACGACAACAAACAACACACAATCGTTTAAAACAAAAGGCAACAAACGGAATTATTCTGATTCGATCTAAATTCGAAAACAAAATGTTTACTCATATTACGATAACTTTGTGTAACAATATTATGGATGGAGGGGGGGTCAATAAACTTAAGCGATCAAAACGAATTTAATTTTGGTTTTTACTTGACTCGATGAAGGGCAACCATAACAGATATTGTCTTATCGGACAATCGACGACGATTTTACGCGATGACAGCACTTTCCTACTCGCAAAGCAATCGCTATACGAAAGTATAATGATAAATGTGAATTGGGTCATTTACAAATGAAAAATGCCACTTGTTAACAACTGCAGTTTTTATTCTGTTTAAAGTTCGTATCACTTTTCACCTTTCAAATATACAATGGATTGTGGAAATGTGTAGATTGCATTTTGTATACGGAAAAATCAAATGAAGTGCTATGTTTTGAGAAATTGCATAGAAAAACATTTTTAAACAGGGCCCAATCAAAGTGTGAATTCAAATGAAATGGAAGGTGCTATTTATTTCATTTCTGTTTCTAGTTCAATTCATAATCTAGTAGAGATTTTTGAATATGTGCCATGAGCGTGTTATGGACAAAGAAAATATGTTTTTATCAATTTTACGCATGAATTACGTGGCTTCGTGTATGTTGAAATTGCATTCCACATTCAATAGTATGTCATGGAATGCTATCAAATAAAATTGCACTTGAAAATAAATTGCCCGGTTTTTCCCATTTGTTGAATTGCAGTTCAATTGATTTGAAGTGGTTTTTCCTTTTCTATGATGAATAAAGCAGATGTTGTACGTTTTGTTGCGCTGATTGCATCTTTATTTTGTACATTTTCAACTATTGCTCCATTCATATTAACGAAAAGTCAGCATTGCTCTGGGCAAACTAATCGAAAAGTATTGAACATATCATGAAAACGATTTAAAGTTCATTCACCTCGCGATTTCAACAACGAAATCATCAGACACA